TTAATTAGAGGTAATATTATACAGGCTACAGGCTACATTTAGGATAATATACAGGTAACTATAAGTAATAAACAAGCTAATATACCAACAAAACTTGTTATTTTCAACTCATTCAGTTAAGAACTGACGGCTTTAACACGAATTTTCACAGTTTTATACTTAACAAATCAAATGTTTCAGAATACAGTAACGGAGGCCTCGGTATAGGGATAGGCCTGAGATTATCATCTGACAAGCGGAAGATTGTAAAAGAGCTGAAAGCACTAAAATACTCCATGATGTCCTGCTACATAAACACAAGGAAATGTTTTGTGTGGTTGGCGGGTAGAGAAGGAAATGACGACACAGTTAGACAGATAGAGATATTCTTACATAAAATAGGAGGTATAAATAACGTCAAGAGGCAGGTTCTGGAAACTTGTAGTTGAAATTAAATTAGATTAGAAAACTAAAGTTGTGTAAGTTTTGTAATCTAATATATTGAACTATGTAGACGCTTAAAACATTTAACGTTTTCTGCAATCCTTCCAGAACTTTCCAATAAAACCCTTTTTTTCATGTAGTGATGAAAAAAGGCTGTTATTTAGCTCATGAAGTGTTCTGAGTTTGACTACAAAGTATTTTAAGTTTAATAATCTAATATACATTAAAGTTATAGGAATGAAAGTCTTCAACCCTGAAATCTAGTAACACACGTTGTTAAAAATCTATCGTATCAACTTCATTTTCCAATTAATCTCCTAACAAAAAATTGGATCTACTGTTATTCATGAATTTCACAGTAAAAATGTGCATTTTACTGTAAAAATGTGCATTTTACTGTAAGAATGTACCCCTGTGTTAGAATCTGTACACTTTACTTGTTTTTACCGTCACACATGTACAATGTACATGTGTCAACCGTTGTAAGTCTCAATTGAATACATTTAATTATTTATCCTATCGTAATAGTTGAGTAGTCGTAGATACGCAGCATAATTTCTTTTGACTACCGTTGGATAAGCACAACTTTAAGGATCGTTTGATGTTACGTTCAGGGAATTATGAAAATATCATAATAAACACAACCAGCCATGGTACAATATAGAGGGGGGGGGGGAGGGGCAGTCTAACCAATGGTCAGTATACACTATACAGGTGTCAGGTATACTATGTTATATAGAGTTTAATTGAGTCTCATTTCTTGGATCTAATTGAAATACACTTATTGAATGAAATGGTTATCAAATTGTTCATAATACACATTCATATCACAATTGTCTCATATTTGTATCAAGTCCCTTCTAAGTCGTTCTTATTCAAATGTTTAATTAATTTGTAGTATGACAGTAAGGTATATAAGAAGTTATTTAATTTTGCTTGGGCTATTATATTGACTAGGTATTGAGGTTTAATGATGATATGGAATTTGAATTCTATATAAATTTACACTATGTGGTTGGGGCATTTTGCATAGTAAATATGGTTACTACTCATATATATCATATTATTTGATTGGTATTCGATTTCTGATTATTTCTTAGGAATATGATTATTATATCTCAATTTGGCTTTAGGTAGGGTGCCCCGCTAAAAGAACTGGATTCTTCCAGGAAGCATCCCGTGCACAGACCTTGGTCTACATATATATTAAATTATTAACCATTCATTCTGTATGTGCACGAAAATTTATTTCAATATTCCTTTAGAGAGTCTTTAGTCGTGAGAAAACTCTTGAAGAGTGACATATCATAAACGTCGTAAGCCATCCCTCCCTAGGGATTATAATAATATTAAGATATGACCATCTTATAAAATCAAACCGAAATATAAAACATATATCATAAAATATCAGTCAAGTTATATTATCAAATCAACACTCCCCCTTTTCTCTTTTAAAAAGTAAAACACCTGGATAGATAATGACGGTAATGAAATTTGAAAATATGACTTGACTGATATTTTATGATATACGGGTATATGGCCCCCAGAATATAGGTGGCCCCCAAAATATAGGTCATGTTAGTGGATACAGTTCTAACCAAGATAAGCGATACTAATGGGATCTGTTACTGCTATGTTGGAGTAAAACATGTAACTAATGTTTCTGGATAAAAATTTTGGACCTACATGAGGTATTTTGGTATATTTGGTCATGACAGCGAAAGATTTAAACGATGTTGTCATTTTCTAGAGGGGTAAATATGGCGAAAAATTGTCATGACAAAAATCTGTCCAACACATGCCATTAAGACTACTGGTATGAGTATAAGTATTATTTTAAGCTATCTTTTCATCGAGACATCTGCAAACTGACAATTTGGAAAAAAGTTATGGCCACCACAATTTTACGGGCCCCCAGAATATAGGTCTATACGACCCCCAGAATATAGGTTGGTCAAAAACCCTGAACATGCCCAAAACCATGCTTTGGGATGCTCTACTTGTAGCTACTAGTCTCCTGAACCCACATATCAAGTTTTATCAAAATTGGATAAAAATTGGCCGAGTTATGGGATAAAAACAAAAACCATATGCCCATATTTGGGCATACGCACCAAATTTGATCGATTTTGGTCCATAAATTGGTCAAATATCAATATTTTTGAATGAAACCAACTTTATATGGAAGGTAAGCATATATTACACATTCTCTATGATTATCAGCTCAATATCTACCTAACTGTGGATTCTGTGTTCAAATAATCGCAAAAAATGAACAAAATCGCCCATATCTCAAACTGACTTCGCTCAAAACAATAGAACTCAATAGGGTTCCAATATTTTCACATGAAATTTTCAGAATCAACGTAGAATTGTCTCATGACCTTAAGTTTTGGGACAGAATTTTGAGTTAGGCCTTTAAAAAAATTTGGCGGCCAAAAATGTCTGATTTACAGTCATTGAGGTGCACATTGTATTGATACAGATAAAAACAGCCCCCTCAATCATATCTAGGGACACTCCTTCAATCTTATTTAAGTATTTAGTTAAGATCCCTACTAAATGAGTGCATGAAAGCTTTTTAACTAGTAAAATTAAAGATTTTACTCATTACGGGTATATGGCCCCCAGAATATAGGTTTTAAAAAAAAAATAGCGACCAAGATTCTGCATTTTCTCTGTCACCCTGAGCATTAAGGAATGTGGGGTAGTGATGAGAAACAGTTAAAGAACATATGCTGAAGAGATGGCATCATCAAAATGTATGAAGGTGGAGTATTTGAGGACGATTTTTGCATACCTATATTCTGGGGGCCGTAGTTTTTGATTTTTTGCTATTAAGTATACTCTAAACCATTTCAATTTAGTATCTGGAGCCATTGGCATCATCAATACAGTCTCAGCAACATATTCTGACTGCATATAACTGTCTGTGACAATTTTAGAACAACTTAGGAACAGATGTTTGGACCTATATTCTGGGGGCCCTGTTAAAAAATGGTATTTTTACAGGTGAAAAAAAAGTACACTTAAAAACCTAATAATTATTTTCAACTACCCAAGAAACATTTAAAGGGTTATTATGTACATATTTACAGCCCTAAACATGCTTAGAAGTAGTTTTAACACCTGTTTCTAAGTGCTCAAAAAACGACCTATATTCTGGGGGCCATATACCGGTTTGATTTTATAAGATGGTCATATCTTAATATTATTATAATCCCTAGGGAGGGATGGCTTACGACGTTTATGATATGTCACTGCTCAAGAGTTTTCTCACGACTAAAGACTCTCTAAAGGAATAAGAACGACTTAGAAGGGACTTGATACAAATATGAGACAATTGTGATATGAATGTGTATTATGAACAATTTGATAACCATTTCATTCAATAAGTGTATTTCAATTAGATCCAAGAAATGAGACTCAATTAAACTCTATATAACATGGTAGCAGGAAGTGGTTACATCATATATAGTAACTACGTGCACTTTCATAAAAATAGGTTTTCCAGAGGGTAGTGAGTGTACAAAGGCTGGATAATTGCTTAACATAAAGCGTTTTGAAACGTAGTTAACTTTTCCCTCTTTAGCTCAGACAGTGAAAACTACTTACTGGGTAATAGGCTACTAATGACTCCAAAACGCTGTTACTATTAGTAATTAGTATTATATACTATGATATATGTATATTGTAGATAGTTGCTCAACGTACATATTGGAAGCAGAAAGACACACCTTAGCGTTTAAGTTTCACTTTCTACATCAATTTGAATAATTAAAATCTATTAATATTAGGTTAACCTTGAACCTGTAATTCCAGGTTTTACACTTTTACTCCATTATGATTTATGAAGCAGTAACTTTAGTGTAATGACCCACTAATGGCAACACACCACAGTGAATAACTACAGTACAGCATTGTACAGCACAGCAACACTACCAACCAACTGCAACAACACTACAACACTACCGACCAACAACACTACAACAATACCGACCAACAACACAACAACAATACCAACCAACAACACTACAACAATACCAACTTACAACACAGCATATAACTACAACACACCCGGGCTGGTGGGACTGGACTGTTATACAGGTAACATGATAACACAGAGAGACACTGTAAAGTGTAATGAGGATCAGGCTACTAGTCAGGGAAGTGAGATATTCACTGAACTAGTCTCTGAGATATCTGGAGATCTGCTGTAGAAAATAGACCTGCTCCATAATTGTAATTAATTACTGTAATTATTATAATTATGATGTTGTGTTATTAGAGGGACATTTTATCTTTTGAACTGTGTGTATTTTCAACTTTAGATTGATACTATTAATTTGCTATTCTAACTATAACTTATGATTCATATCTGTTCAATTAGATGTTGATATTTCGAAACAATTCAGAACCAAAATCTATATTAATCAGTTGTCCTCTTTGTTGTATTTTAAATTTGCAGACGAATATAGTTTTTAATTTTCCACTGCTTTCCTACTTGTAACGGATGGATAATTTCTATTGTTTAAATCGGCTAGTCGTAAAGATAAAATATAAAATTCATTAAATACCTGGAATAATTCCCCGTTGCTGATGTAACCATCTTGGTCGATATCATATACTTTAAATGCAACTGAAATAAAAATCCAATAATTCCGTCTGCCTCAAATTATTTAAAGGCTAAATTAAATGATATCAAAATTTAAAATATATCAAATTAATTGTCCCATATGGACACCTGGTGACTCAGCAACACATATTGTATTAGACTATATTGACTTATGTAACACATTAGCTGTAACCTGATATACGCTGTACTTCATGAAAACCACAACTTCAAGCTAGTAATATATAGCAAAGTGTTGCTCCGTGAAGTTGCCATCAGCTTTACAACAACGACCAATTAAATGTGTGAACAGATATCATGTGAAGTGTGCACATGTTAGAGGCTGATGTTATCTGACAACGGTGAGGCTAAAAGAGAGAAAACTTACATTTAAGCTTTGATTCCTTATCTGCACCCTTCACTGTAAATTGAGATAAACCTTGGACAAATTCTGAAAGAAGAAATAAACATTAGGGATAACATGATCAGTTGAAAAAAATTGAAAGTTTGAAAATCATACCACACACAATTTCGAATAAATTAACATTATTAGGTATTTAGCGAAATTATGAACAACCCCACTTAACAGAGCAAAGAATAAAAAGTAAAGTATTTGATAACTGTAATTAAACAACTTATTTAACAGTATTATCATGATCATATTTACCTTTAAAATCGATTTCACCATTACGATCAGTATCAAACAAGTCAATGACTCTGCGTACTAGCGGGTTCTGCTGCAATTCAGGTAGGGACATAAACTCCTCAATAGATATCGTGCCGTTCTTATCAATATCTAGCTTCTTAAAACGCTTTCCTAACCGTCTCAACTCTTCTTCACTGACTGTGATATCATAGATTGTGTCAAGGTATGATGCCTGAAGCTACAATTTAATACAGATAAAACTGAAAAAGCAACAATAATTTGTAGCTAATTCTGATCTTCCTTGTAGTATGTACTCTCATATCATTATTGAAATATATTTCATGATACTTTAAGTTTAAGACAGCATATTGTGATTGACTAAACCATTATGTAATGCACCCAGTGACATAAATTTAAAAAGGGACTAGGAATCCAGTCTGGAAAGAAAAAACGGCTACCATATATTTTTAAAACGACTACCATAAATTTTTCGGCCGCTCCGCGGCCGGATAACGATTTCATTTTACTTTGCTAGTTATATTACAGAGGTTTAGTTATTCATTAGTATAGTTATTAATTCATTAGTATAGTTATTCATAATTGCCAAAAGATTGTGAAAAATTCCTTTCCGGGTCTCGAACTCGCGATCTGCTAATGTAGTACCGACGGTTTAACCGACTAGGCTACGATTCCATGTACTCTTTTGTAATATTTACATATAGATCTTCGCGCGTTCCTGCAACTACCATACTACCATACTACCAAACAGTCCATACTACCATACTGGTAGTAGGAAAATCTTGGATCCTGACAGGAATATCTTGGATTATTTGGTAACACGCAAGTTAAGCGCAAGAACTAGGAATCTGCTGGGAATCTGGCATTTGCGCTTGATTCGAACATCTTCTCGGATAAATATAGAATTAAAGTACAGTGCGCGGCGTTACAGTGTGTAACAACCGAGAGCGACTATTTTAAAGTTGATTTAATAATTTTGTTGACAAAAATTAGTCGGCGTGGCTATGGAAATTAATATGGCTAGGAATTAGATTCTTAGATTCCTCACTTTATGTCACTGGGGTAATGCAGTAAGAATAAAAAACAGTTATTGTTAAAGATTATATGATAATATATCTCACACTGAGTAGTCAAGGCAAGGTTTTGAGGTAATGAGTGTTCGTTTCCCTGAATAGACAAAATTGGACAATTTGTTCACAATTTAGGATTTAAATAAATACTATTGGTCAATAAATTTGCAGTACCTGCCACAAGAAAATAACATATACTATCTATTTCATAAATTCAAAAAGTCTGAAGCATTTGAACAAAATCATGATTGAAAGTTAATCAAAAGATCAATAAGAAATCAACCAATAGGCTTTAGATATATTTACCATTATTCCTGACAATACAGTTTACCTAGTTGGAGATTGAAATTTATTCCAGGTTATATTGTATTTTTCTTATAGTTAGATAATAACACCTATTATAACAGACTGATTATAGTGATATCAATTAAAGAAATTTTGGTAAGAAATTTGATAAAAATGAATTAGTATTATAATGTTTCTAAAATTCAATTCACATCAAATTATTGTTTACCAACATCATAAAGCGTATATTATTGCCCACGTTAAGGGGCCTGTTAATAATTTATTAAATTATTAGCTATTTTAGATTTAATAATAATACCAACATTACTGGAGACAAGGCTTCTGACACAAACTTAATTATCTCAGTCTACAGGAAACTTGGGTTTTGTAACCTTTAAATGACACAGTTCTTTAAAGTTTGCCAGTACATTATGTATTCTGGGTCTTATAACACAGCAAGACTTTTGAAACACCCTGTACTACTCAATCGAGGATTCTGTGGCCATAATTTGAAAATGGCGCAAAACGGATTTGAAGTTATCAAGCAATATTTTTATCTTGTTAGCGAAATTGATTGAGTAATCATGTGATAGTTTGCTACAAGACCCTAATTGGGCTTTCTGCATGATTCCCATAGTGCTGATCTAGTGTCAACCCAATCACCTGGTCCCACATGATGAACAAACCCATTACGCTTGGTATTTTGGTCAACTGAACATATAGAGTTCCAATTTTTCTATATTCCGTAAAACACTGCCAAATGGGGTGGGGGGGGGGGGGGGGGGGGGCGGGATCCATCTTAGGGGGCACCAAATCATCGTTTGAATATGGGACAACTAGCAAAACTGTGTGTTATGCTCTAGAAACACACTTTTTTACAGATTTTACAAGATATATATTCTCTAAAATCATCTAATTTGTTCAATTTTAGGGAGAGGCACCCTAAGGGGAGGGGGCGCCAACAGGCTAGGGGGGGGGGGGGGGGGGGCAACAGGCAACGTTACGTCACTGCACCAGTGAGAAATTCACTTGGGTGTTCCATTTTTTATCCAAACTACAGATGCTTGACTGACACATCTGGTTAACCACAGTGACTGCTATTTCAGTCTGCTTCACCCTTGTTTTTGGACTAGCAATAACATTATGATAATATAAATGTAATTCCTATCTTTAGGCTACAAGTATTTTAATAACAAATAGCATGATAGATCTGTAATAAGTATAATCAATAATATAAAAATAAACTAATAATTTTCCCCATAACAATTTGAAGACGATTCCTAGTAAACAGTGTCAAGCACTGGTCGTCCGGCCTACTAGGGACTTTCCATTTATTAGTGGGTAAAAAACCATAGTTTTTATTATTAAATACTTTTCAAATTTTACAGAGTACAGCAATAGATGAATATAAAATAGAATCGTTCAAAATATCGCCCCCATCTGTAAAATATGATGGGCACCCAAACACAGTAAACACATAGTGAACTATGTCCGCAGTAACTTGGACCCATTACATCAAATCAATCTAAATCCAAAAATTTATGAAAAACTATTTAATAACAAACAAATCCATGGTGAATAACTGTGGATATATAGTCAAAATTGGTATTTCAATACGTAAAATTCCAGATACATTAGATACAGGTCTGATATGGTCATTAATGTGTGAGAAGGTGTGCGGGTGAAGTGTGATATGATGTTGAAAGTATAGGAAGGTAGATAAAAGAATTAATAAAACAAAAATAATAATAATAATAATAATAATTTAAACTTATAGATTATAGTGGCACAACAACTTAAAATGCACAGGTGTGCCACGAAAACAAGTCAGGATACAAGAAAACCTGAAAAGCAATCCACATTTAGGTTCCAAACCATAGAAAATTGTAAAGACTTGATACACTAAATTACAAGGTTAAGGGTATGCACTTAACAGTAGAAACGTTGAAAAAGTAGTAAATTAATTAATATCAAAAGCACGTTTAAAAAGAAACGTTTTCAGATACACTTTAAAAGATTCCAGTGACATGCAATTCTTAATTTCAAGAGGCAGCTCATTCCATAATTTAGGGCCAACCTTCTGAAACGATCTTTCTCCATACTGTGAATATACTCTTGGTTCAGTCAAATAGATAAGATGATTATAATTGGCATATTTAAACATATCACTTAAATAATCTGGTCCCATACCATTAAGACATTTATAGACAAGAAGCAATAACTTATATTGAATTCTGTAACTAATAGGCAGCCAATGAAGGTCTTTCAGAGTGTCTCCTAGATGATCATATTTATATAGTCCTACTATAGCTTTAGCAGCTGCATTCTGAACGAGTTGGAGTTGGTGGATGAGGTTGTCACTAATTCCATAATAAAGAGCATTGCAGTAGTCCAATTTGCAGACAATGATGCTGTTAATTATAAGCTTGAGCTGAGCTTTACTAAAGAGATATTTTCTCCTTATTACATTCCTAAGGAGTCTGAAACAATGCTTTTTGAGGGACATGATTTGAGGCTCAAAAGTAAGATGATGGTCAATTTGAACACCAAGGTTCTTTGTTGTGCTGACAAATCTGATACAGGTATCATTTGATAGCTTAACTCCCCCTATACTGACCTGGTTTAGAACTTGAGGTGAGGCGATGATAAGTATTTGTGTTTTTCCAGGATTAAGTTGAAGGCAATATTCAACCATCCAGCGCTGTATGGTCCTAGCGCAATTCACAATTTGGATGCCCAGAACATTTACCTGATCACAAGGTTTGAAAGTTTTATATACCTGGTGGTCATCTGCATATCCTTGCACATTGAATCCAGTTTTCTCGATGGTCCTATACAGAGATCTGATGTATATGTTGAATAGCACCGGTCCTAACACAGAACCTTGAGGTACACCAAATTCTAGAATGATCGTATCACTAGTAGAAGAGCCTATTCTGGTTCTTTGAGTGCGGCCTACCAGGAAACTCTTGAACCATTTAAGAGCAGTACCTCCGATATGGATCTCTTCAGAAAGAATTTTGAGTAATTTTCTGTGTTCCACTGTGTCAAAGGCTGCAGATAAATCGAGCATCATGAGAACAGTGGAGGATTTGCTATCACATGCCAGCAGTAGGTCATTTGTTACTTTTAACAAGATGGTCTCAGTAGAATGGAACTTCTTATAGGCAGATTGCTGTGGAACATTGAGATCATTTTTAGCCAGATGTTCATTTAACCTTTTCAGCACAACTCTCTCAATGAGTTTACCCAGAAAAGAGAGGTTAGATATAGGTCGATAGCTCTTGAAGTCATTTGGATCAAGTTTGTGGTCCTTGATGGTAGGAATAATGTCAGCAGTCTTCAAACCGTCGAATGTGCCCTTAGCTAGAGACTGGTTCACCAGTTTGCACAAGACAGGAATGAAACTTGTGATATTGTCTTTGAGGACAGTTGTTGGAAGAAAATCAGATGGTGCACACTTGATTCCACTTTCTTTGATTATTTCAGACAGCTCATCCTCTGTGCATGGTTCGAATTCATATAACTGACCTTCACAGTTGGAATTGTTCTGTTGATTCATAATGTGTTTATCAACATCAAAATCTTCTATGCTGGGGAAATCTTTCCTAATGTTCTTGATCTTTTCATTGAAATAGTGATTAAAATCACTGCAAAGTTTTGAAACATCTTCTGATTCTGGGAGAGGAGTATTCTGATGTCTGTCAAGCTCACGATTGACAATGCTATATATAGCTTTAACATCATGTTGATTTTTGTCAAGTAAACCTTTATAATACTGTTGTTTTTTAAGATTAGCCATGTTTGTTGTTTCATCTCGGATCTCTTCAAAGAGTATCCTGTTCTCCTCACTTTTATGTTTAGTTCTCTCGGCTTTCCTTCTAAGTTTCCTTTGATCTTTGTACTCAGAATCAAACCAGGGAGCATGGGGAACAAAGCTTATAGTCTTTTGGACCAAAGGTGCATGTTCATCGAGGACACTACCAATGCATTGGAAAAATTGTTCACAAGATTCAACAAAGCAGTCTGCCAATTCATAGTCAGAGGAACACATCAGTAAATCAATCGCCAACTGATCACAATCCACGGTTTTAAGCTGTCTAGTATTGGTTGTTTTAGGAGCTTTGAGGTTAGTTTGAAACTTCTTGGTGGCAAATATGATGGGGAAGTGATCACTCAGGGTACAGTTTTTCAGGATTTCAATTGTAGACGTTTCAATCAAGTTACTCTGGTCAAAGAGCAGGTCAATAGTTCCTCCACTCATGTGGGTCGGATTTTCAATAAGTTGCTTGAAACCATAAGATGAGGTGGTCTGCAGCAGTTCAGTTGAGTTTACAGTAATTGACTCTGTGTGAATATTGAAATCTCCTCCAATTATTATATAGTCACTTTTCAGACTTGCAGAACCCAATAAGTCATCAAGTTCCTCAAAGAACTTCTTTGAGACAGGGCCAGTTCGATAGATGCATAGGACAAGGATCTTCATGTCAGGAGTGCACTTTATAGATCCAGCGATGAATTCAAAGGTTGTCAGGTTCGGAACTTTCAAATTAACAACAGAGAAATGTAATGCCATGTTGTAAATCAGAGCAGTGCCACCACCTCTGTTGTTTGCTCTGAAATCATGAACAATACTGTAGCCATATGATTTTATAACTGCTGTTGTAGTATTGGCTTGGTCAGATAACCATGTTTCAGTTACAATAGCAACGTCTACATCATGATCTTGAAGTAAGCACATAATGTCGTCACACTTATTATTAAGACTTCTAGCATTCCAGATCATATATCGAAGTTGATGCAATTTCTTTGGTTTGGAGGAAACTAGTTTTTTGAATAATAAGATAGGGAGGCTTTAAGTTTCTCTTGCTGAACCCGGTAAGAAGGACACTCAGTAGAAAATGCAGCATGTTTACATAAATCATCAGGTGAGCCAGACTTTTTGCAGTTGATACAACAGTATGTGGGCATTAGATCATTTTTCTCCTCTGAATTGTTGTCCTTATTATCACATTGTTGAGTTTCATGTCCAGGGGCGGCGCAGAAACCACAATACACTTCGTTTTTACAAGTCTTAGAATAGTGACCAAAGCCTTGACACTTGTTACATCTCTTTATGTAAAGTTGGTCATACACTTGGCAAGACAGTAAACCGAAGAACAACCTGTTATTATTATCTCGTATAGCAATTCTAATATTATCACTCAACCTTATGATGGCTTGTTTGATATTTTGGTTTGCACGGAGAGGTTTCACAGACAGAACATCAAACAGTGAAGAGTCTGCTTTGAGGCAGTGAGAAATGTAAGGATTTTGCTTCAGGATGGTGTTCCTTATCTCTTCTTTGTGATCTCTACTAAAATCCTTAGGTAGACCAACAACTGAGATAGTGGGATATCTTTGCTTTGGTTCTTTCAGTTGATTAGCAGCTATACCTGATGATATCAGCTCTGTCTTCAGATTATCTCGTGAAGCTTGGGTTGGTAATATGAGTACTTGATCACCATTACTATCAACATATTGCTTATGAACCTGGATTCCATTATCAACCACTGTCTTTTCTAGATCTTTACATGGAACATTAGCACCTTTTGTAACAACCAGCAAGGATTTTGTTCTTATTTCATCGAGCCACACGTTCTCACCCTGATCAGTAGCTGGTTTCAAGGTACACTGTGCTTTGGCTGTCGAGATGAGATTATCAACAGGGGAATGGTTAATAGATTTCCCAGCAATTACATTCTCCAATAATTTCTTAATCTCTGTGACATCACTAGCTAAGTGTGTTACTCTGTTGTCAAGTACCTGAACATGATCATTAGTTGTGCTAGTCTGCTTCACTTGATGATGTGTAAAGCAAGGATCACACATAAAGAGAAAGTTTCCCATATGTTGTTCTTTACTTTTGTTCGAACTGTTTTGTACAAAAGCTGTGTAGAAAGACTTGGTACAGGGATTATTGGGCATTGACTTAGACTTGGGCCTAGCACTATTTGAGTCATTTGAAACAGGAGCCACACAGAGGGCATGAAACAACTTTTTACAATTGATACAACATACCGTTTCATCTTTAACTTGGGCTTTTTCAACTGCACAGTTTGAACAAGTGCCATTTTCCTCAAGCTGTCGAGGATCTTTTAATACATTGTCATTATCCTGTAATGGTACATAATTCGAAGACACCGACCCGGCCACTTTAATTTCCATATGATCTATCTTTGGGGGCATCACAAGAAGATCCTGTTGGGGAGCAGGTCTTAAACTGTAGTCACGGGGGTAGTGACAAAATTTGAGTAAGTGGCAGTTTAGGGGTCCTCAAATTATTTGTTATATAGTAGTGTTGAAAGTATTAAAACTTTAAAACCATAATAATATGGGGAGCAAAGAGACTAGGCTAGGCTGTTGTTTCACTGTCCAACAAACATTTCCATAGATACTTAGTGACCTCAGCTTTGAAAAGACTAGTAGACACAATCTGTCTTACCTGTAAAGGGAGTCCATTCCACAGTATATGAGTTGTGTAGAAAAATTATTTTGCCAGTGGGCTATTTGAGGTACATAAGGTGTGTGAATTCTGACTTAACTTAGGTAAAATTGATGACACAATAGACTGACTGTCGAGGTGGCAACGTCTTAGTCGAGAAGTCCCCTGATATAAAGAGAGATAGTGAGGCAGCGATACAGGAATTAAATTGTTCAGAACTTTATGGAAAAAAATAAGATCATTCAAGTCAAACTTTTGAGACAAAGGGAGAATGACGACAAGGTTGCACTTTTTGACATATTGCTCAGGTGGATAACTGCGGCCCTCTTCAGACAGAATCCATTTAATAGCTCTCTTTTGGAGACTTTCTAATTTATCACTAAGTGATTTATTACAAGGGCGCCAGATTATGGAGCAATTTTCGAATTGGCTACGAACCAGGGAGAGGTAAAGCGCCCAGCGACGTTTCTGATCAATGACAATATGGCCATTTCTTCTGACCATACCAAGTTGTTGGCAGGCCTTAGTATAAATTCTGTCGCTCTGACTATTCCAACTTAGCTTAGGAGTAACATCGACTCCAAGATCTTTTTCTAACTCTACATACACATGAGGAGAGCCATCAAGATTATATGCGAATGGAGGAGATAAAGATGGTTTTACTGAAACAATAAGCACTTTACATTTTGCTGGATGGAATCGCATTTTGTTTCTTAGTGCCCAGTCAGAGAGATAGTCTATACCCATTTGCAAATTAGTATTATCAGAAGATGAATGTATTTTACGCCAGATTTTTGTATCATCGGCATACAAAGGCCAAGAGGAATATCATTGATAAACAATACAAAAAGTAAAGGACCAAGGATAGTATCAGTATTATCCGAAAGGCCAAGAGGAATATCATTGATAAACAATACAAAAAGTAAAGGGATATTGGTCTATAGTTAAATTTATAATTTTAAAATGGGATGGTTTGCCTTTATATAACGATGAAAATATTCTTTTCGGTTTCATTAATTGTACTTCATATATATATTTATATATATACAGGGTGGGCCAAAAGTCAGTACCCATACGTTGGCCTTAATAGCTCCGCCGTGTTTTATATTTGAGAGCTGTTGCTCTGCAGATGGCATACTGTACTTACTGGTTCGAGGATTCCGTCGTCAAAATTTGAAAATTCGAATATTTTAGACCACGCCCATTCAATATTAAAACACCTATATTGTTTTCTCTGAACATGCTGAACGCCTAATTTTTTCAGAGACGGTAGATTATCAAATGTTGCATATGATCTGAAAACATGAGGCAAAACGGATTAGAAATGACGAAGTTATCAACCATTTTCTGTATCTCGTTAACAATATTGACTGGGTGATTATGTGACACCGTGACACGACACCTTAATTGGGCACCCTTAACAATTCCCATAATGTTTAACGGGGTAGTTAACGGGGGCACCTTATCACGTGATTAGGTAAACCAATCACCTGATCACATGTTATGAATAAACTCGTTATGCTTCATATCTCGGTCATCTGAGAAGCTACAGTTCTAATTCTTTCAGGACAAACGTAACTCGAATGGCCAAACACAATTCAATAACATTTAGCTTGATCCGACTATCCAAACTATCAAATAAATGTGAAAATGAACCTCCATTTGAAAAAAATGAACGCGAATATTTTTCGAGTTGACAAATTCCTCGAACCAGTGGTGGTACTAAGTCATATCAGAAAGAAGTATTTAAATTGGGCACTCAGTGACTGAGCTATAAAGGCCAACGTATGGGTACTGACTTTTGGCCCACCCTGTATATATATATATAAATCGAAATTTTTAACAGCACAACCATATGCAGTGACTTTTAAATCAAACTCTTTTAATAACTATTACATTTGTAGTAGTTGTACAGCAATACTAAAGTAATGGGACTACTGCCTGATTCAGAGAATGCCAACAGACATCGAACACTGTAAGAAGATGACGATCATACCTTGTTAAATTCCTACATTATTGATTATCAGGGCTGTGAATATTCCACAGCCGTGATCTTTGACAACAAACAAATTTTTGACGATGTTCGTTTTGTGGAGTGAATCTGAAAAAAATCAGGCGCCACTATAATGAGCCCATTACATGTTGATCTATTCCACTTTAAATTGTAGCGCGATGCACTACTGGGCTGCGCCGCACATCGAATAATGTTTCCTGCAACCACGATCTAACCCTTCGTTAAATTGGCGTTAAATACACTGGTGGGCCAAACCTTCGTAGCACTATTGCTTTGGGCATTTCGTTACTGGGCGGCGCTCAGCCTGTCATTCTGCCGAATCTTTATTCGGTATGTTTATGAATTCACATAGCCATGTGTTTCACATAGCCACGTGTCTACGCGTACTGCGTGACGCGCTTGTTTCGCGCGCTACTGCAAGCGAGAGGGCTCGGGTTAGAGCAATTTATGAACATAATAGCCTGGGGTCCCCAGGTAAGCATTTCGAAAAGAATGCAGCGCGCTAATTGGAAGAATTTAGACGAGTAACATCCGTCAATTAATATAAAATGATATTGAACGTTTGGAATATTTTAACGAAAATCAAAGAATTTCGTAAAATTACGCGACTTTTACGCTTCATACAAAATTCGCGAGTCATTAACTTTGGCGCTATGGCAAATTTCATTAATTATCCCAAAAATTTTTGACAAATTGGGTATTGAGAAAAAGCTTACATTCTCAAAAACAAAAAAACCAACAATTGTACAATGCAAAGTAATGTACAACAAATTTTAAAATCCGACCAGGTTTAAAATTTAATTTTATTGTGCACTTTTTTCCCTTATTCATGTGACAATATAATTTTTTGACGGATGGCTGCATGGATCGTCTAAATTTTTGACCGTTAATGGTCTGGCCCGGCGCGCGCTACTTCGTAGCACTTGCTGTCGAGAAGAAAGCGGCGCGCTACTTCGAAGAAATTTAGACGAGTAACATCCGTCAACTGAATTTCTTCGAAGTAGCGCGCGCCGGGCTAGTCCATCAACAATGGACAATATGATTTTGCAATTTTATTCGGGATATGTCGAATGTGTGTATGGTGTATGTTCAAAAAATTTCATGTTTGAAAATTATGGTACATTGCTGACTTTTGAAAATACATCCTTTCGATTTGTCGAGCTTTTTGCTGTGGACTTCATCCGACCCAAATCAAACTTCCAGCTCCTAAATCGTGTCATATGCCACATATTTGATATTGATATAGTTGACTCACTAATTGGTTGTGGGTGAAAAATCAGCCAAAACTGTACAATTTCGTTCCTGGAAATTTGATCTTCAAAAACTGAAAATGGGACAAATATTGGGCCTAATAACATTACGTGATTGAGACAGCTAGTTATCCGTCGTTATCTTTTTAAAGATATCTTTTTAATCATTTTCTCTTGGGGGTAAATCGGAATCTGTGTTTGAAAATACATCTATTCAAGATGCAGCTGGTTATGGTTTCAAATTCAACTGTCAGGGGCCCTTTCAGAATGCATAATTATTTCGAAGTTCGTGTGTAAAGTGATTTAGCACGCTCGTTAAATTTCTTCGAAGGAGATCAGTTAACACTTTCTATTCTGATTCGGGTTGATGTGAATTGTGATATTGGTAATTGTACGATATTATCTGTTGCGGAGTCATGTCAAATTTAAGCGGTTCTTATACTTATAGTGGTCGGTCGCCACAGCTTTATAATACTGAATCATTGTTCCAGCTTATGAGCAATGAGCAGTCGTACTACCCTATAAGTATAACTATAATAACCATCGTGTAAAGGTCTTATAACATCGATTTAGGAATGAGAGATTGAACTTTAATTGATAATTTGATTCAAGGATTTCAGTTGATTGATTTGAAAATGGGCTATAAGTATAGCTAGGGTAAAGTTTAAATAAAAACTTCATGCATGATATTAATATATGACATGTCTTCTGGCGCAAAGCTTTAAAATGTAATAGCTTTGTTGCCCCTGGCCCATTGTTTGAGAAGCTTAATTGGTATTTTGTGAAACTGTAGATTTGCTGGCACCCACTATTGTTTCAACTTGCCTTTGTGCAGATAAAAGGAGACTTTGGGAATTTAGGGAGAACATTCTTACACAAATGTATGTGCTCAAAACGTACTCCACGCAAGCTAGTGGACATGAAACAATGATCTTAAAAATTCCTGAAATATTAACAGTGGTCAATTTTAAAACAATAAACGTTTATACCATATTGAACGTTTACTCCTGAGGATCAATCCCCTCGTCACCTGTTTGCATTTCTTGGTAATGTTTTCAATATTGTACAAATTATACAATATGGGACGAATGTAGAGTAAGACATTGGTATTAGCTAATACTTGGCATTTCTTAGCAAAACCGCGTTACTAAGAAAATAATTCATAATTGATATTTTACTTTTTAGGTAGATTTTCTTGATGCTCAAAAATTGTTTTAAATAGATCAAGATGGATCGTAGATGGCACTTCTTGATAATATTTTTGATCCATAATAGAATTAGATTAAGGTTTAATAATGTTTTACTCAATTGCGTAGTACGTTGCCTTTTAGCTCCATTTCTTGTTTCTGTTGTTCTGTTTCTTGTTTCTAATCGAGCTGCTGTTATTTAAAAACTATGGTGCGAAGCGAAGTTGAAACTAACAGTAACAGCTTTAGTTTGGATATCACTTCTAGTAAATGGTTAGAAGATTAATAAGTTTCGTAGTTTAATAGCTTTACGTCGCTTTATAAGAATTAGCATTATCCGAATACCTTGTTAACATTAAGTTGAACCTGTTTCAAATTTGGTCACCACATTCGCTTGTTCTCTAT